ACATGTCCTCAACTTCACCTGCTTCTGGCCCACTAACAGCTCCTGGCCACATGACAATTCATGCCAGTGGAATATTACTAAGCTTTTACGTCACAGCCAAATGTGCCCCTTAAAATAACCAGATCAAATATTTGGCTTATGTCACCTTGTAATTTTTTGGTGTGTTGTTTCTTAGACTTAGACTAACTTTATTGATCTGCAAGGGAAATTATTTGGACATATTTCTTTTTACTTGTATTGCACTGTATTGTATTTTATTTTGCTTGTACATAGACATTATACAAAATTAGAATTTCCTTGCGGATCAAGTATTTATCTATCTGTCTACATCTATCTATATAATTATGCCTTATATCACACCAGTCTCTTGCTATTTTTGCTACTTATTTTTAATTTATTATTACCATTTATATTTTTGCTCTTTGTTATTATAATATATTGTGATGTGTAAGATACTGGGTCCCTGTAATTTCCCTTGCTGATTAGTAAAGTTTGTCTAAACTCACACATTATGATAGTACGTTTATTCAAATACTGGATAAATGATATGACATGATGTTCATACAGTAATCAACAGGTACATAAAGGCAAATATTTTAAATGTCCAATCATTATTATAGTCTTCTCTAGATCAATATTTCCAAAAAGTGGGGGAGTGGTGAGAAGTAAATATGTTTCTGCCCCACCCCCTTTTACAATGCCATACCAATAATTATTATTGTTATTATTATTATTATTATTATTAATTATTACCAATAATTATGCTTGTGCCAAAAATATAAATGGTAATGATACATTCAAAATAGCAAAAAAAAAAAATAATAATAATAATAACAAGAAACTGGCTTCAAATAAGGCACAATTACACAGGTGTATATGAACAAGTAAAAATACTGCAGATACAAAATATATAGGCTGTATAAAATAGGTGGGGTAAGAAGAAACAGTGTAAAGTTGAAATTGTGATTTGACAGGACAGGGCTAATCATAGAAGGGGCTAGAATAATTAACCCAATCGAACAAACAGTGGAGTCTTGAGTTAATCAGTGTTTGTATGGGGCGTTTGGAGATTAAAAGTTTGATCTCATCATAAAGGAGTGACAGATGATAACAAGAAAATAAATCCAGTTAAAATAAAATATAAAATAAAGTGGACAATTTACATACAACAATATTAGCTAGTCATTCTCACAAAATTTACGGAAGGTAAAGGTGTCAACAAACTGCCGCATTGACCTGTTTCACTCCAGTGGTGCATGTGTGATGTAAGTGAGTAGCCTCATTAGTACAGTGTGTTCCTCAATCACTGCACAGCACACACATGTCCAAGTTTGCCCCCACATGTTCAGAATTTAGGTCACTGTATTTTAAGGTAACCAGAATAATTTTAAGTGCATACTAGTATGACAGGTTACAGACTACTACTTTCTCTTAAAAAAAAAAGAAAAAAAAAAGATTTTTTACCAAAAAATCTTGCCTAGTTTTGTGAAGGTTATAATTTTATGTAGTTGGACACAGACATATGTAAAGGTTCTGTGTACAGCAGAATGTTAGCTAGCTCACTGTGTCTCAGAACTAGTAGTCACTTTTATTAAAACCTCAAAACATAAAATAAACAACCTATTACAATTCAAATTAATGAAAGTGTATTTAACTACTCAATTATTTTATATACAGACTACTTCAATTGGTGGTGTAGTTTTAACATTTATAGTGCTTCAAATTTAGTGTTAGCATTGAGACATAAACATCTGTCTTTCTAAACACAGTAGTGTTCACCACTGAAGAAAAAAATTAATTTCTGTACTTTTTTAAACACTCTGTCATTGACATCAACCCGCAACTTTACTGCCTTATCTTTAAATATTTATTAATTTTATTATAGGGTAACCAGATTTTCAAATAAACTGGGACAACCCTGGTTTGGGGTGGTTAGTAATAATAAAATTGTGAAACAAATGTGTAATTAAAGAAAATTGTTCTGCACTCAGCCCATTCATCATTATAGTCAGTACAGTCACATTTTCTTTGTGTTTTGGTCATTTTACAATTACAAATTACAATTTATACCTCTCTTTACTGTTGACAGGGATCAAAAATAGGGACACCTGTCATGTAAAAAGCTGGGACAAACCAGTGGTTTTGTATAGATCTGCTGGGACTGGGGACACAGGGCTCAAAACGGGGACTGTCCTGGGTAAATAGGGACTTCTGGCCATCATATTTTATCACAACTCAGCATAAACCTTATAGATCAAATTTGACAGGAATTAGTGACTCAGACAGTGAGATTGTCAGGTGCTATTGTGCACAGAGCCTAGTTATATAGCAACCATATATTATTAGGGACAAAACGTGTAGAAATTGCATAAAAGTTATGATTTCAGAAAAAAATAAATGACAACACATTTATGTTTAAACTGTGTGAAAAATGCCTTCTTTGTGTGTAAACTGTTTCTGCATTTTGGATGGAGTTAATGACAGTTGATGACATACAGTATGTAAATATATTCTGTTTTAAAACTCACTGCTACTTCCTGTATTTTCAAACAATTTTTTCTACTTTTCTTCTCAAACTGCAAGTTAACTGATGTAAAATTATAATGAACATGAACATACCCACCAAAAGAAGTAATAATTAAAAAATAGGCCTGCATGAATCTGTCAAATGCACTTTTAGGAGAGAGTTAAAATATGTTCATGTGTGCAGAAAAGGTGCTGTGGTTCTGTTTAGTATATGAGCATAGAGAGCTTTTAACATATAGATTAGTGTTTGAGTTATGTAACAGCCTTTTGTTCTGCAACACTTCATAGGTCAACAGTTGAGCAGGAAACGCCAAGGTCTCTCAGGTGAATTTGTGCTTTTCTATAACAAATTACAAGTCAACACCACACAGGGCGTGCAATATTATTATGTTATTAGTGAAAAAATAAGACAAATTTGAGTGATTATACAGCATGGTGCAATCTATAGGAATGGATCCAGCTGCATATTTGCCTTGACCCGTTGGAACTAGCCTACTGTACAAAGGTGAGGATTACAATGAGACAGTGTGCTGACAGCATAGTTCAAAGTTACATAAGTCATGACAGCTTCAAAAGCATCTTAACATACAAAGAAACAAAATAAAGAAAGAAAAAGTAAAGAAAGTTACATAAAGAAGGGTTTGGCTCTCAAACTTTTCAGAACCTAGTACTACCAAAGAAAAAATGTGGCTTTCAGAGTACCATCAGATCTAAATCAAGTATATAACAGGACTGACATCACGCTGGGGTGCTCTACATGTATCTCTATGGTGAAATAGTCAGCAGTCACCATGGCAACACCATGGAAACACAATTAGCACACACTGTCAAATTTTACAGATTTAAATCTTTAAGATAATCTGAATACTCAATAAAAAGGAGTGATGTGATCAATACATAATTTTTTTGTCTTGTTAGGTCTTTGATTTTCAACATAAAAGGTGAGAGTGACTAACTAAAAACTGCAGGCTAATACTAGCTAGCTTCTGACTGCAATTTAATGTGTGATACTTGTCTAACAGCGCAAATCATTTCACCTGTTGTAGTTCCAACTGAACCAGCTCTTTCCAGTCAGATTGTGTTAAATTAAAGATCAGATTAAAGTCTAACAGGCCTCAGACAGAACAGTGCCCACAGTTAGCATTACACCCCCAGGGGATGTTGATGCCATCAGCTGCAAAGTGTCAATTACAGGTCTAATCTAAACCAGGTCTCCATCATTTCCACTGTAGATCTAAACAAGCAATGATTGAAAGAGTGGATAAAATTCACTCTAAATTATGCAAACCCACATCCTGAAGAGCTGCCCAACTAACACCTGAAAGAGCTTGCGTACCACGGTTTGAGAAGCACATATTTGTTGTTTAATCTTATTTATTTTTTCATTTCATTCCAACCCAGCTCCTTCACTTTTTCTGTGTATTGAACTGACACAGACATACTGGCATGTGCTCCTATTTGGCAAACAAAAGTCAGTTTACAATTTTGATTATACAAACTATTCTATGGAGCTCTTGACCCATATTCTGAGCAGTCACACTCTCTAACACTTTCATCATGAATGCAGAACTGACAAGAAATTAATGCTCTGTGACACAGTGCAGAGTCAGTGGCATCTTGTTAAGAGTCCAAATTAAAACTCCACCTGAATAAGAAAAATATGTGCTTTTTATCTCTTATATCTGTATCTGTATCTGTGTGTTGTACAGTTCATAAAGTGTCCAACCATGTAGTGGGGAACTGTGTTTTGGGAAGTACATTTATTTATTGATTGAGCCACAGGACAGAAATGAACCTTTCCTGAATGGTGATCTTGAGACCACATAGACTATGTAGTACTATGATTTAATGTTAAAAATCACATTCTATTGTCTAAAGAAAGTGTCTTTAATCATCATAATGGTGTTGGAAGAGGTATTGTTTATCGTGACAACATTGCTACATGTCAAAGGATCCAACTTCCCACGTGAATGGCTTCATAGTGAAAGTCTATATTTAGCATCTGCTGCCCCTGCATCCTGAATAATAAACTATGAATGAGTAAGAAGACTGCTCTAAAGGCAGTGCTCTTACATGTGAAGACAGAGTCAAAGGAAAGTGCTGTGGCATTTTGTTGTGCAGGTTTGATAGTACAGGAGAGGTAAGGTTCCAGGAAGTAAAAAACAAAACAATAAAGAACAGTGGGAGTCAGTTCTTGGTCAAAACACGTACAGTACACAGAGTCTGTTTTCCCCAGTGAATAGGCATACTTTGTTTTCCTTTTAGTAGGAAAAGTACAGTACTCCTTTACCACTCCACCAGGAGACAATTTGGACCCAGGCAGCTGATGGGGCAGACTGGACGAGGAGGGGCCAGGGACAAAACCATGAGGAAAACAAGTCGTAGGATTGGTGGACTGACAAAAAGGGCGTGGCTATCTCTATAACATATGAACGAGAACGTGTATATTTACTGAAATATAAGCTCTCCGCGACAAGCTAGTTGATTGTGTTAAGAAACGCACTTTAATGAGCTGAAGTAACGTTACGCAGGAGTATTGCATCTTGAGAAAGCATGCATTTTTGACCAGGTCACACCGTCTTTTTGTTTGTATTCTTACGATTTACCCACAATTTGACAAAGGGACTTTGCATTTCTGTTGGAATATGTGGGTTATCAGTTGTGTCAGGACTTGAGATGGGATTTTTTTAAATAAGCATTTTTTAATAAGCATAACGATTTCTCGCAACAGTATTACCCCAAAATAACGTTTGGCACAGCAGCATTTCAACATTAGGCGCGCATTTTTGTCCTTTTTGTGTTAATATCTGCACTATTTTGTTGCTTTTTGACAACCAGAAAGCCTTCACAGTGGTAAAAATTGCTGACAGCATAACTAATCAGATAAAGTGCTGCGCGTAGTAGCCGAACGCACACGGACTTGCACAGGCGCACGGAAAACAACAGCAACACAGGTGCTGCTTCTCTAAACAAGGCGTGAGGCAAAAGGCGACTTAAAATCATGTCAGACGGTCCGAGACAACGGAGCAGCACATCGGGGTCCGCTAAGGATGCTGCCGGTGCGAAGGAGTCCGGAGGAGGAGGGGTTGCGCTCAAGAAGGAGATTGGTCTCGTGAGCGCATGTGGCATCATTGTTGGTAAGCTCCTATATTTGCAAAATTGATTTTTGCGAGCTTTAAACAAATTTTTGCGAGGTTTAAAACGAGCTATTTTATAATGTTATTACCTCCACAAAAAACATACCTGGAGTTGTGTTTTGTTTCATTCATACACGTTTGAATAACCTTTACCTTTTATTTAGTAGAAATGGGCAATTCCAGGAATTCCAGGATTCTAGTGAAGGTGTATGGAGTTTAAAACACAGTGGAGCACTTCCTGTATTACCTCATGACATCACAAGGTGGAACAGAGCATGTTCTGTTTTAGAGAAGAACACATCCTACATATGCAGGGTTTGTGTGTTACACATGTGTGAATGAAACAAAGCACAACACCAGGCGTGTTTCTGATGAGAAACACTGAATCATAAAAACGCAGTTAAATGTTACGGCCTAGTAAAAGTGTTGGATGGTGAATCGTTTTGAGTTTTATGTGCAAATGTGAACCACTACGCTTATGATGCATGTTTAAGATAACGATCTTGCAGGTTTGATATAGGACTTAACTAGGACAAACATGTTTACTGACTTAATTAAATTCCTTATTTTGTAAAGCATGCGTGGTCACAATGGTTTCACATGCTTAATTAAAGGTCCTATATTACACAAGACTGTGAGCTTTAAGATAGAATGTTGTTTCCACCTCAAAAACATATACCTGGAGTTGTATTTTGTTTCATTCACACATGTTTGAGTAATCCTTTTTATTTGTCTGTCTACATCTCCAAAGCTCAAATGTTCCACCTTGTGAGGTCATGAAGGCAGTTTTCATGTTAACAGCTGCCTCTTTAGTTCAGTGGAGATTGGCAATTCCAGGGCTGAAATCATCCAAGTGAGTCTATGGAGTCTAAAAACACAATGGAGCACTGACAAAGACCAGAAAACAGTACAATACGGGCCCTTTATTTGAGCAGATAACTGAGTAGTAATTTGATAACATCAACTAACACTGAGTCAGACTTTAGGTATAGCTTTCACTTGAGGAGGAGAGACAGGTTAATCAAAAGATAATCACAGATGCTATAATCTGTTAATCCTTTCCACATTTGCACTGAATCTCAAAAACTCAATAAGAATAATTCACTGGCTCACTTGATTCTCATGAAAAAAAAAAAAAAACTCCCATTTTGAGGTGGGTTATTTGCTTTATTGATCGCAAAATTATCCAAATGATTCCAGTGAAGATGTATGGAGTTAAAAAACACATTGTACTATTACCACATGACATCACAAGGTGCAACAGAGAGTTTGTAGTTTGTGAGAAGAACTAAATATGCAGAATTTGTGTGTTAAAACATGAGAGAATGAAACAAAATATAACTCCAGTTTTTGATGGGGAAACAACTTTATAATATAGATCAGAAAATAGCATAATATGGGCCCTTTAATTGGACCAATTAGTACCAGTTATTGCTATTTTGTAACCCTCTAGTTTTTTCATAATTTAGAGGTCACAGATTTGTAGAGTCAACAGTTTTTAGCCTAGTAACTTGCAACTAGGCACACATAAGGAATTCTAGAGTAACCCCTGATTGGATAAAGGTGCAAAGGGTTCATTCATGTTGAGTTGTTTCAAAGAAGACTTGGACCTTGATACTGAACACTTGATAGCAATCGGCCAATCTAAAAACTTGACTTTATAGGCCTGTATCACCTGCATTATTTTTTACCCATAGGACACAGTATAGACAGGAACTACTCCATGTCCTAAAATAGACTTGTAAAACCCAATCGATACTGATGTTTGTGTGAAATATGACCCTAGTTTGTCTGCACGGCGTGTGGTCAGTCTGTGTAGTGACCTTGGGGTGATTCAGGAGGAATGACGCTCGGACTTATTCATTCACACGTTTCCACGGTAACAGGAGACAAGATAGAAGAGAGGGAGAGGAGGAGAGGGAGAGTGAACATGGGAGGGGTGAGGACTGGGGTGGGGGGTCTCAGGAGAAGGCCTACAAGAGGTGGATGAGAATAGAAAGATAGGCCACGCTAAGCTAAAATCAATACTGAGAAATGCTAAATCGGGTTACAGCAGTGTTCCAATTCAAGATATCTTTAATTATCTGAAGATTTACATAGCAGCGGTTTGTGCGCACGCTGAGGCTTTATGGCAGTTCAGAGTCCGCTCATACTTGGTCCAGTCACGGGTGGGACAGCTTGTGGTCATGTGTGTAGTGTGTGAACGTGAGCTTTGAGATTTCCATGAAACAGAGCGCATCAACATCAAATGCTTTTATGACCGCTGAACAAAGGCTCTATCAATCGCCCACTCAGACAAAAGTCCAGAAACGTGCGAAGAATCAGGATTATCAAATTGAACTTTTGGTCACTGTAAAGACAGCCACGCCCTGATAGTGATTTGCCGGATTGGATCAAGCAAATCACACTGAAAAAAAGAAAAGAAAAAGAAAACAGTCAACAGTTGTTGTTTTTAAAAAAAAAAAAAAAAAACATTTTACGTAACAAAAAAATCAAAACCCTCCCAAAACACTGGGAAAACAAACATCAATTGCCACTCAAATCTAATCTTGTCAAAATATTAAATAAGGTGTCCATCTGCTTGCCGTTTCCCCCTCACAGAATGGAAAAACTTCTCCGTTGTACAGTAAATAATCAGCAAGGTTTGAATGGAGTCTTTGCATTACTTATGGAGGTTTAGCGTAGTAACTGATGTGTGATAGTGGCTCAGGCCCAGGTTGAGGGTTGCTGCAGGTTGGTAGCTGTTTGAACAAGGATTTCACACTGAGAGCAAATGGGACTCTTTGTACTGGGTTTATATAGGCTGATTATCAGGCCTATTTGATTTTTTACAATGCATCTGCAGGCCTATTAGTATTCATTGTCTGTTGCTTAGTGAAGAAATGCCTGCGCCCAAGTCACTGTAAACGATTTCCTGAATAGAACACTCTATAACACAAGTTTCTGTGGAAAGAAAAAAAAAATCTCTTAAATAAATGAAGAAATAAATAAATAGCAGGATTAAAAAAAAAGATTGAAAATACTACATGATTATTCATTTTAGAAGATTTGTGTGTTGTGTACTTTCTTTCTGGGAACGTCAGTTATATGGCAATACAAATAAGCCCATGTTTCAATTTAGATCTTTCAAATATGTTAATAATATATAATATAATACATGTTTTTTTGTTTTTTTTTTGTTTGTCTGTTTGTTTTTTGCATACCAAGGTGATTAAGGGTGAGTAAAGGTTAACTTTAAATTGAGCATAAAAAGATCAATAACAACAAATTGCTGAGATAATGAAGTCTGGCAACAGTGCGTCAAAGAGCTTCCCTGACTTAAGACAAAAGGATGTCCAAGCTGCAGAAAGAAACAGGAAACTTACAGATTCCACATTAGTCAGCAGGTCTAAGTGAGTGAGACTCCCGGCATATAATGTGAAAGTTAAAGGTCCTAAATTAGACAAAACTGACTCTTATCACCTTTGTTATAATGTTGTTATGTCCTCCAAAACATACCCAGAGTTGTGTTTTGTTTCATTCACACATGTTTGAATAATCTTTTATCATTAGTCTGCCTACATCTCAAAAACTCAAAATGCTTTTTTCCACCTTGTGATGTCATGTAGTGGTAGTTTTCAAGTTAGCTACCTTTTACCTTTTCTTCAGCTATTCCAGCTCTGAAATGATCCAAATGATTATAGTGAAGGTGTATGGAGTTTAAAAAAATAGTGAAGCACAACACAACTCTAGGTATATTTTTGATGAGGAAACATTATAACATAGCTCAGAAAATTGCATATTATAGACCCTTTAAAGATTGAGTCAGTGGTTAAGGGAGAACTAGGATGTAACTGTGTGCATGCTAGAAAAATGCTGTGTCACTGTTCATTTTCCCATACACCAAGAGGTCAGGTTACAAAGACCACCAATGTAATAAACATGTCATCTTAACAGCAGGTGGGGGACGATGCAATCACATGTTTGACTTTTTACCTGCTGGTTACATAAGAACACAAAATTCCTATAGGATGAGTGAATGAGGGGTTGTATAGGGGGACCATGCACGTGCACAGTTCAGAGTCTTGCATGTGATCTGCCATATGTTTACATTTAAGACAAAACTGACATCGTATTAAATAAATTTCTCTGATATTTCACATAGTGGGTCGAAAAATAGGCTAAAATGCAGTATGGGTTTGCAGGATGGATGCAAGTTTAGGGCTGTAGGTCTGTGTTTAGGTCTATATTTATTGATTAATTGATTGATGGTGTCATAGTCAAACATTTTTTTCATTTTTGCACCTGGAATGTTCCACAATATGACATTAGATATTGAAGGAGTAAGCTGAAGATCTGAAAAATATGAGTTCAATCAGCCTTTTACATATAAATACATTGTTTCCTGGTATTTTTTTCTGCATAAATAGTTGTTTTTGCATGAACTCCCCAGAACATCTCTTCAACTATAGCCGTAAATGTATTAACAATTCACATTTGACTTTTGAACTGTAAAAGGCCTCTCAGCAACATGTGCAAACTGTAATGATTCAAAAACTAACCTTTGCCCCACCATGCTAATTTAATGACCTCTGGATTCGAGGAAAAAATATAGAACCATTGTCCTCAGTTCACTGAACATCTATTGGATAAAACAATGAATATATTTTTACCCTACAGTTGGGGTTGTTCTTGATTGTTGTCAAAAATGTTGGTAACCCTTCTGACTTTTTCTTTTTACTTGGTTGTCTTGCTGTACCACCAAGACTCATGAGACTTAGACATGATATTAATTAAGTAAGTAAAACATACTTAAACTAAACTTAAAACTTAAAAAAAGTTGGGACGAAGTTATGATTTATTACAAAAAAATTGTATGTGACCATGGATTGGGTCACATTTATGACAAGCTCTGTGGTTGTGAGTAGATGCTTTAATAAATTATTTTCAAAGTTCATATTGTAAACACCTTGAGAAGAAGTGAGAAAAAAAATGATATATGAACGGACAAACTAATACAAGAAATACTTTTCTATAGACCTAAACTACAGGGTTAGCAGTTTTATGCAGAATAAGACAGGATATTTAGTGGTTTATGAAGGAAATGACGGTACTTATAAATTGCAGACTTTATGATTTGTTAATTGTGTCCATTCACATTACGATTTTTATTTTTATTTTTATTTGGTTAATTGTGTAACTGTAGTTCATTAAACCTAGTTGATTCAGTCATGGTTGCGTTCTTTCTGTCTGCTTTCACCTCTCCCTACCCCTGGTTTGAACCCTCTCACCCTGTTCAGTTGTCCTGCCCCAGAAGTCTCAACAAAGTCAGATTCAGCACTTTTTAAGTTCCCACTCTGGTCTTATCAAGGCTCAGCTAGTCTGTTCCAAATATTACATTAATTAGGTCTATGTCACACAGATAACAAACTGTTAGTGCATTGAGTTCATTATACAGCCCAACTCTGCCTTGTAGTTAGTACAGCCTGTTTGAATCAAAGACTGAGGTTAAAGTGCAGATGACAGATTTTCATGTTTTTCTAATTATTACTTGATTTGGTGGGATCATACCTGTGGTAACTATTTTTTACATCAGTTACGTGGCAGTTTTTGTGGTAAAAGTTTAAAAGAAAAGCATCAGTTAGTCGGTTAACTATGTCCATTTATACAGTCTATGAGTAGCCGTTATGGAATTACCTCTATGTCTATCATAACTGCTGCACAGATCCAATCAGAAAAATATAAATATAATGGTGTTAACAATATTTTAGTGAAATGTGGAGTCTAACCTGCCATATGCACTTTCTTGTCTTTCAGGTAACATCATTGGCTCAGGTATTTTCGTCAGTCCAAAAGGCGTCTTGGAGAATGCCAGTTCTGTAGGTGTGGCTCTTATCGTATGGATCATCACTGGAGTCATCACGGCCATTGGAGCGCTGTGCTACGCTGAACTGGGTGTCACCATCCCCAAATCTGGAGGAGACTACTCTTATGTAAAGGACATCTTTGGTGGTCTGGCTGGGTAAATATATATTACATTATATTATGTATTATATTATTACATTACAATACACCTAAGGCGAGCTCATTTCCACAAGCATGCACCTATTGATAATTTGCAGTGACATGCTGGGGATGTAATATATGTATCTCTCTGGTGGAATTATTAATATTTACCATGTAGACAATGCTCACATTAGCAAACACAGCCAAAAAAGTTTTAAGATCTGACAAAAGTTTGAAAACTCAGTAAAAAGCAGTTGAAATAGTTGATTTAAACAGCACATTTTCAGGAGCTTGTGATTAATAGGAGTGTTCATGGTCCTTACGGTCTTAAATCTTTTTTGCTGATGTGTGTATTGTGTCTCTATGGCACCTGCTGAACATTCCACCATAGAGATACTTATAGAACACCCCCAGTGTAATATCATTGCAATTGGTGATAGCAGTTTATGAATGAAGCTAACAAAAGCTTTTTAATAAAACTCTGACCCAGTTCCCATATCTGTGGGGGGCTTCACAAACAATACAAGGAGGATTCTGGTGCACCATAATAAACCTGCAATACTATATGTTAAGGCTATAGGATCAAAAGAAACCAATATATTTAAATCCAGGCCTCATTCTTCGAGACAGTATGAGTTTGACTTCCATCTCACGGTGCTTTCAGTAAATGCATGGGAACATAAAATACACTGTGCAAAACAATATAGTTTGTTAGCTTCACATACTGTGCCAGACTGAACATCTTAGACCATTGTTCCGGTCAAAAGCTCAGATACATTGTATGAAGATATTCTCGGCAGCGGATCTGAGATAGACAAAACAGCCAGAAGTTGTTTTTGCACAGTAGTTACCTATTTTAAACTTCAATGAACATCCAGGTGCCGTTTTTAGATAAATAAACGTAATTCATAGATCATTTGTTTTTGTGGGTCCGGGGGCTTTTGTGCTACTATATTACTCGAAATGCTCTCATTGCAGCTGGGCAAGGTCTCAGAAAAGGGGAAGCGATCGTAAACTGCTCCACAATGGTTACAGTACAAAGGCTCTTTGTTGAGTCAGGCCAATGCTGGTGGACACGTTACACCCATTTACATCCATTTCGAAATTTAAACTAAGTGGCACTGAAACTAACCGTAAATATATATTAAACAAATTGCTAATGCTCTATTTAAAGGTTCTATATTATGCAAAATTGACTTGTGAGCTTTAAGCCATGTTAGAATGTTGTTACATCATCGAAAGTATACCTAGAGTTGTATTTTGTTTTATTCACACATGTTTGATTAATGCTGGACCGTCTGCATCAACATAGTTCAAAATGCTCTGCTCCACCTTGTGATGTCGTGAATCAGTAGTTTTCAAGTTAACAGCTACCTTTGTCCTTTTGTTCAGTAGAGTTAAGTAATTCCATGGTTGAAATGATAAAAATTATTCTAGTGAAGGTGTATGGGGTTCAAAAAACTCCACATGACATCACAAAGGTGGAGGATTCTCCGTGTGAGAGAAAAACCTGGCCTAAATATGCAGGGTTTGTGTGTTAAACATGTATGAGTAAATCAAAAGACAACTCCAGGTATGTTTTTGAAGAGGAAACAACATTATAACATAGATCAGAAAAAAGTGTAATAAGGGACCTTTAACATTTGTGAAAAGGGGGTTAGTGAGGACAGAGGGATCCCAATGCTCTCCTCTAAAACAACATTTAGATTAAACTCACAAATGCATACCAGCCAGATATAATCCATTCAACTCAGTCAGGTGTAATGATCCCAACGAAAGCTTTCGGAGAATTTTATGGAAAAGCCTCATGCTTTTTTCTATTAGTGGAGCTCCAGTGGGTTTGTGTGCCACTTGTGACCAGGCTTATTCCACTGCAATACAATGTACCAGGGTTCAGTAAAGTCAAAGTAAAAGTCAGGCTAACCTAAAAACCTCATTCTGGCTTATGGATATGGAGCATAGCATTCTTGTAGTAGTTATGACTTAAGGGCACATGCTGGGGTCACCTTAGAGACTACGCCACTAAAATTGGTCAAGTATCAAAATTCAAATACTAACTGATACGAAAACTAGTATTGAAACTAGATACTAGAGTAGGTATCAATACTAAAAACGTTGCATTCACAGGACAGAAATAAACCTTTTCTGAATAGGTTTAGAATGATCCTGAGTTGTATCAGAACAAGAATAAGAGCACACAGACTAATATACGTCCATGGACCACTGTAGAGCCTACCTGGATGACTGTAGGATTACAGAGATATATGACCACATGGTAATATAAAAGAGAGTATTTAATGTTGAAAATTACATTCTGTTGTGTGTAATTATGTGTATATGTATATTCGAATCTGTATAGAGAATTGTGTCTATTCCTTAGTGTTGAATTTGAATTTTAAATTTCAGTATTATGACAACACTGAACAAGGGTCACACTGAAGTGTAACATTATTTGAGTTAATCATTATTGTTTCTTTTTTATTTCAGATTTTTACGTTTGTGGATTGCTGTGCTGGTCATTTACCCAACCAACCAGGCCGTGATCGCGTTGACGTTCTCCAATTATGTTCTTCAGCCCCTGTTTCCCACGTGCTTCCCCCCAGAGAACGGCCTTCGTCTCCTGGCTGCGGTTTGTCTCTGTAAGCGTCACTCATACTTCAAAACGTGCGCATCGTTTGTAGTGTAAGCATTTTCGTTGTTAAGCGCTATTTATAGGAGTGATAAAAAACTGCTGTGTGCACTCATCTGTTTGAAACCACAATATTAAGGTCTTGACGTTGGTCTTTAAAGACCTTAGACAAATTACTTTTGGTCTGTGGCTAGCATACTTTTTGTTTTCCTGTTCCCAAATTGGGCTTGATTAAAGCTCCAGTATGTAACTTTCTGGTGGTGGAAACTCAACTACACGATTCCCATAAACTGTATAAAGTGGACTAAGAGAGTGTGTCGTCACCTGTAACGTTCGGCTCCAGTCAAATGAAGCTCAGGAGGCTAGCAATTATAGGGGCAAATTTGGAGCCAGTTCCAGTTTGAAATTGAGTTGTGGATAAAATAGTGAAATAAAAACACCAGAACCATGTAGAGTGGGATAGTAGGAACATTTAAGACCAAAATGAGGAGCCTGACAGCAACAGAAAGAGGGGCAATACAGTATTTCTCAACACAGTGAAGTGAATTGGAGTCAGAGCTGAAGGAGATGAAAGAGCGCCCATGCTCACTTCTCTATTTTTCTCCATGGAGATAATAGTACATTATAAGTCACACCACGGAATATTTTATCCAAAGGAACAACATTTCCATGGAAACAAGTGAGAGGAGGTCCTTTGTGGCCCTCTTTAACCTATAGAGCTGGATGCTATCTCAGACTTTTCTGACTGTTAACCATGAGGTCAAAGGTCAGTCAGGCAGGAGACTCGTGCTGAAAGGGCCAAAGTCACAGTGACCGGTGATGTGTGTTAACATGGACAGATACATGTAACAGTGAGACATTTTACTGCCTGAGTAAATCACACTCAAATGCTAAATACCACACACGTTCTACAGACAGACGCACTGTGGGAAACACAACTGTTCTCTTGCCTTGTTCCATCCATTAAACTCTCAGTTGTACAAGTACTCGTGGAAAAGTTATAAACCTGGACAGATTCTTTGCAAACTAGTTTTTGCAGTTTGCTTAAAGTTGAGACACAAATCACTAGGAAGAACATCGTTTAGCATCAGTTTACCAGATGTCTTGACTTTGAAATTACTGAAAAGATTAACACCTCAGTTGCAAGTTTAATCATGTTTTGCGTTGCCTCGCTGGCCCACTTATCTGTCTTCAGTTACAAGCCCTAAAGCAAAATTATTATAAATGACTTCATGACTATTGGGAAAGGCAAGGCGCAATATATTTTAGGCTTGTTTTGATGTTGTTACTGAAAGAGGAAATAGGTGATAGGTTGCCTGCTCCCTACTGACCATGATGTAATCCTTGTTGTCCTGGGCTGTAGATATATTTGAACCTTCTGACATTTACTATAACTGTTTTTGTGGATTGCCTTACCTACTGATCTGGTTTTGACTGGATTTGAATGGCAACTGAACCAGACATCGTGGTTGCTCTATAGTAGCACTGGGAGTTTTTTGTTTTTTTTTCCCCAAGGTATACCATTTCAAAAACAGTGGCAGGGAGGGGGTCTGTCCCTGGAGTCCTGTCTCTTCCTACAGATGGCACAGCAATAGGTCATAATTCTGTCATGTTTTCTCTGCGAGGTTGTGGTTAACTCAGCAAGTTTGGAGCTCACATGGGTGCAGAGTGTGCAGATGTGTGTACTCAGCTTTGGGGCCCCAAAACGTCAGAGAAAGCGTGAAATAGTATAGTATGTTTGTGTATAATTAACTACTATACAATGGGGTTGGCAAAAGTATCGAAAATCAGATACTAATCGATACAAAAACTAGTATTGAAACTGGATAATCATTTAAGCAAGTGTCGATATTGAGAAAAAATGAAATAAAAAATTATATAACTGAATACAGCAGGACCTTCCCTGAACAATTTCTTCTTGAGTGTTCTTCAGAACAAATGTAAGATAACATTGTATAATAAATACACCTACTACTATACTGTGTTGAAAATGACAATATTGTCTCAACAGCCTTTAAAAGTATAATTTGGGTATCACAATAGTTACTGAGTCTGTTGTATTTTAGTATCGAAATCGAGTTTGAAATTTTAATATCTATAACACTACTATACTCCTCTACAGTGCATATGCAAATTATCAGTACATGAAGTAGATTTAATAAAACAAAAGGAACATTCTTGTCCATATGTTGTTCCTCACAGTGTGGCCATTGCTTATAAACCCAAACCTGTGGTGGGCTATTACTTAATAGAACCCCATTGTTCTGAACCCATTGGCTTGAGCACATCTGTATTCTCTGCCCGTACTGTTCAGGGGTAAAAGCCACTATGTTTTTCAATGTAGTATTAATGGAACTGATATTGTGTCATTTCATTGTTAAAGGGAGACAATAAAGGCAAAACATTTAGTTTGTTTGTTTTTTTGGTCAGTTTGGTCTCGAAGTTTCAAATTGATATGTTTAAATTGTTCCTATAGAAAAATAATGGTCTAATGTCCATGGTTTCAGAATTAAGAAAAAATTTGATTGTTGTCATTTGATTTAACCATTGAAAATTAAATGAGCTGCAACCCATGAACTATACTTAACTCTACACTACAATTTGCCATTGTAAGGAAGGCTTTCAGAGATAAGCTGTGACACTGGCATGGCCAAAGGTTGCTGCAGATTTTTTAAGATATGTTTTTAGTCTTTGCACCTAGTATGATCTTCTGTTACCAAGGCCATTGACCCAATTTCTCTCTAGTTTTATCACTGACACAAACTCATTTGATCTCTTTATGGTACAAAAGTATCATCGTTTGCTATTAGTGCAACATATTACACTTCTCATACAGAGTTATGTGTTATTGAAGAAGCCTGTGTATTCACTTTCAACACATTTGCAGTAACTGGAATGACATTCAGTTAGAAAGTCTTAACTTTAGTTTTACAAATAATTATATGTGAGTTAAATAACAGTATTTCCTCCTCTTTTCAGTGCTTTTGACATGGGTGAACTGCGCCAGTGTGCGATGGGCGACCAGGGTCCAGGATATCTTCACTGCAGGGAAACTTTTAGCCCTGATCCTCATCATCATCATGGGCATTGTGCAGATCTGCAAAGGTGAGTCTTCTGTATTTTTGTCCAGTAAAAAGCTACAGAACCACAAATGTGTAATTAACAGGTGGAATAATGACAAAAACACCACTGTAAAGGTTTTGTCAGTGAATAGTAATGGTACGCTAATCATGTTCAATAGAGATTGGCATTTCCAGGGCTGCAATCAACCAAACGATCCCAGTGAAGGTGTGTGGAGTTTAAAAATACAGGGGAGCACTTCCTGTATTTCCACATGATATTACAAGGTGGAACAGGGTGTTATCCATTTCAGAGAACTATTTTTGATGATGAAACAACATCATAACATAAATCAGAAAAATAGCGTAATACGGGCCCTTTAACCTCTCTGGGGACGCCATTGGGTTCAGTAAGTTTGGGGGCCTCATGGTTAAAACTCACAAAGCTAAAATCAGCAGCTGGCCTCTGTGGATCTGCAATCACAACAGAGCAGAGGGCCAGTTACTATTAGGGCCAAAGCACAGTCGTCCCTAAACAAACAACATTATGAAAGGATTCTGTGAGCGTGTTTCTGAGAAAAGCCACAAAGGCCTCTAAATAAAAGATACCAAAAGCTTATTGATTACTGATACAGTAGATTGATTCAAGCTTGTATCTAATCTTATGTCGCCTCTTCTTTATTTACAGGGGAATACTATTGGCTGGAGCCTGTCAATGCTTTTGAGCCCTTCCAGGACTATGATGTTGGTTTGATAGCGTTATCGTTTTTACAAGGCTCGTTCGCCTATGGAGGGTGGAACTTCCTCAACTATGTAACAGAGGAGCTGGTGGATCCATATGTGTAAGCACTGAACCTTACCTAACCAAATCTTACATTGGAACACATTAATTACACACATTACCTTATAATTTGTCAGTAAAAAGTCCAATGTTATAAATGACTCAAGAAAAGAAATTGGCAAAAGAAAATCTGGAGTTTTTATTAATAGGCCCTTTATTACACAAAATGGACTCTTCTGAGCTTAAAGCCATGTCATAATGTTGTTAGCTCCTCAAAACCATATCTGAGTTGTGTTTTATTTCATTCACACATGCTTGAGTAATTCTTTATTACTGGTCTGTTTACATCAAAGCTCAAAATGCACTTTGCGATGTCATGAAGCGATTTCAAGTTTTCAAGTTAACAGCAAACTTTTACCTTTAGTTCAAAGCAATTCCAAGGCTGAAATTATCCAAATGATTTCAGTGAAGGTGTATGGAGCTTAAAAACACAGGGAAGCACTCCTTGTATTACCACATGACATCACAAGGTGGAACAGAGTGTTTTCTGTTCGAGAGAAGGACTGAATATACAGGATTTGTGTGATAAACATGTGAATGAAAAAAAAAAAACAGAACTCCAGATATGGTTGTGATGAGGAAACAACATTATAACATAGATCAGAAAATAGATAATAGATAATGGCATTTTAATAATTTAATAATTTTGTGACATGATTATCTGAGACGACATCCCTAACAATGCCTCAGATTTTGTATCCACAATCCAGTCTATAAACATCTCCTAATACCCTTTTATGGTCTGTAGGAATCTTCCTCGTGCCATCTTCATCTCCATCCCCCTGGTGACCTTCGTTTACGTTTTTGCGAACATCGCCTATGTCACAGCCATGAGTCCACAAGAGCTCCTCGCCTCAAACGCTGTGGCAGTGGTGAGTGCTTTAATTTGTGGCTTCTTTGGAGACTCCTTTTGAGGAAAAGGGTTCTGTCGCCCTCTATTGGTATCAATGTTGCATTACCTTGCAATGGATTGTACCGATATTTGACACAAATGACTGAGGAGTACATACAGGCATACCAGACTTCACTCAGTTATAGTATTAATATGCCTATATGTTTACACAGACATTTGGAGAGAAACTCCTTGGTGTCATGGCTTGGATTATGCCCATTTCTGTGGCTTTGTCTACCTTTGGAGGAGTCAATGGATCCCTCTTTACCTCTTCACGGTCAGTTTGCTTATTTGTTATTTTATTATTTATTTTACAGTATTATTGATACAATATTGTGGAGAGATCCACTTATCCCCCAGTACCTGATAATTGGTTTGAGCTTTGAGCTTCAGAACAAGAACAAGAGTTTTCTGGCATTTTAAAATATCACCTTCTCATTTACAGTTTGTTCTTTGCTGGAGCCAGAGAAGGCCACCTCCCCAGCCTTTTAGCCATGATTCATGTAAAACGCTGCACTCCCATCCCTGCTCTGCTTTTTACTGTGAGTAAAAAACAAGTACATTATAGAAATCCTAAAAGTTGGTTCCAATTTTTGAGACTGTTCTGACCCTTTTTTTCTTTTTTATTAGTGTCTTTCTACTCTGTTGATGCTGTGCACCAGTGACATGTACACTCTTATCAACTATGTGGGCTTCATCAACTACCTCTTTTATGGTGTCACTGTTGCCGGGCAGATTGTGTTGCGATTTAAACAACCAGATATGCACCGACCAATCAAGGTAAACTAACGTGAAAATTTGAGCTTCTGATCCTATATTAACACAAAATTGTCTCTTGTGAGCTTTAAACCATGCTAGAATAGTGAGCTTTAACACATACCCAGAACTGTGTTTTGTTTCATTCACACATGTTTGAGTAAACCTGGTTTGTTAGTCTGCCTACATTTCCAAAGCTCAAAATGCTCAGTTCTACCTTGTGATGTCATAAAATGGTAGTTACAGCGACCTTTTTCCATTTGTTTAGTAGAGATTGGACTTTCCAGGGCTGGAATTATTGAAATTATTCTAGTGAAGTGAATGAAGTTTAAAAACACAGTGGAGCACTTCCTGTATTGGTAATTTTCAGATTCTAGAATATAATGATGTCAAACTCTCAGATGGGGCAAGGGTCACTTCTGTTGTTTATATAGTACTTTTCCATCAAATAGCTAAAAAATAAATGCACAAATGTTGAATGTGATAATTTCTACGACTGACTAGACCAAAAACTCACTCACTCATTACAAAACAAATCTGTATTTTAGCAGTAATAATTTTAGCTGACCCCCATCTATATTAATCAGTATTGGCCTATAGAATGTTGTGGTGTCATCTGAAACCTAACAATTACCACATGATAGCTCAAGGTGGAACAGAGTGTTTTCTGTTTGAGAGGGGAACTCAGCCCCAACTCAGGGTTTGTGGATTAAACATGCATGTTTGTGTGTTTGTGTGTGTTCAATATGTGCGAATGAAACAAAATGCAACTCAAGGTATGTTTTTGATGTAGAAACATTATAAAGGATAAAAAAAAAAGTGTAACACAGGCCTTTAAGCAAATGTCTCTAAATAGAATTTTTATTTGACTTTCAGATCAGCCTTATTTGGCCTGTCATTTACCTCATCTTCTGGGCGTTCCTGCTCATCTTCTCCTTGTACTCTGAGCCTGTGGTGTGTGGCATCGGACTGGCCATCATGCTCACCGGAGTCCCCGTCTACTTCCTGGGAGTCTACTGGAAAAACAAGCCTCAGTGTTTTGACACCTTAGTTGGTATGTCATATTAGAGAATGCATTTAGTTTTAAGGCTCATTTATGCTCTACTTTCTAGATGCATATGGATATGCAAAGAGACTTTTGTCCATTCTCCGTTGTTCTGTCCATACAGTCTATGGTTCTGTCAGTTATTTGGCCTGTCTCCTCGGAACATATGGAATCTTTGCAACGAAGTACATAAGCTAACCATTGGGGACAGTAGTGAACACAGCTCTGTAGTAGAGACCAAACTTTAAAAAAAAAAGTGACTAAAACCAGCTGCAAAACAAATAATTGCTACCCTGGTGGCACTGAAGATTACTGCACTTTAAATGCATGAATGTGTTTATGTAAAAGTGGAGCATAAATTAATTACTGTTACATAAATCCATGTCATTAACATGCTGTCTCATCACTTTTATCCAGACAAAATGACATACCTGGGCCAAAAGCTGTGTGTGGTGGTCTACCCAGCGGAAAGCAGTGACAGTGGTGCAGATGAAGGACAGGAGATGACAGAGGCCAAATCTCCTCTGTCAAAAGAGGATGGAGACAATCTTAAAGCAGACTCCTAAAAAGTGTCATTATTTTATCAAGTCAAACTGCTCAAATTCTGGGCACACACAGAGAACACAGCACAGGTTTCTGTAAGGAAGATTTGGTGTGGATTTTACAGCAATCATTTCTATGCTGAATATGACAAAGAAATAAACAATCCCGTTTTTCAGGGATACTTCAGAGGTGCAATAAATACCTTGATACATGTGTCTTACATTTGCTAAATATCAGTCGCTTTGTCCCTTCTAAAGCCACACACTCTCTGTACACTCCAACAGCATTTTTTTTTAGTTTTTAAACTGTAATTTTGATACTTTTTGTCTCACACAAAAACCGTTTATTTTTTCAGCAATCATTTCTCAAATCAAATAATTTCATATTGTAATCCGAGTACAGTGTTGTAAAGGCTACTGTGATTCCACTTTTTTTTTTTTTAAAATTGTAATAATTTTGTATACCTTTTGTTGTGTTAGTTAGTTTTGATAAGTTAATTGTAGTTTTGTTACTATATTTTTTCTATACAGTAGCAAATATCTCTGGGTCTGCTGCAAACTTTTGCAAAGTGTGCATGTTTTGCCTTAATTAGATTATCTAAGGACACTACACTTAGCTTTTAATTTAATTTCTGTGCCTCTTTTGAACTCCAACATTAACATATGTACAACTAATGGGCAACTGCATTCTTTATCTTTCATATTTTTAGCTTAACATCTTGCTCTCCTTGAATGATTTTGTAATTTTCTTGTGTGTCATGTTATATTTTAGTGCAATATGGGTAAAGACACAAGCAAGAAATGAAATGATTTGAATTGTCTGCCAGTACTTATGTCTGTGTAGATGAAAACTTTACTCCAGTATGTAGTATGTCCCAGTATAATGTTGGTGTCTCAGGGCATTACCACTATTTCCCGGATCACACTGCCATAAACTACACAGTGTAAGTTTTAAAAAGCCTGAGCAGCCAGACTAGCTTTATTCTGCCCCAGGGGTGCCCAAAGTGGCCCTCTACAGGGTCTAATTTTTATCCAGTGAGGAGGTGTTGAGTTTTGAATTTGGATAAAATTTAGATAAAAGAGGCGATACCAGTTTATTCACTAAAATGCACAATAGACATTTACCCACATGTTTTACATGAAAAATATTAGTAGATTTAACCCCTGGCCTTTTAATACATGTTGTTGTATTGTGGCCTGCTGAGTGAAAAGTTTGGGCACCCCTGTTCTACCCATATACAGAATGTAGATGTGGCTCATTGGCCATGCTGTGATCTTCTTTAACTTAATATCCTTATAGGTGCTTTTAGATTTGTATTCCTCAGGAACTCCTCAGTTTAAGCTGTCCCCATTCCCGCATGAATGAATGAAGGTCAGAATGTATTGGGGAACAGAGTGTCTGGGTCTGGAGTCCAATGTGTGTTTTGGTGTGAAGCGTTTAACAGAAAACACACGTTGTATGTTGGCTTAAGACAAAAACCACTGAAAAATGTATTTTAATTTGAGTCACCAGGTCTTGTTTTTAAAGCATTGTAAACCATATTTTTTCACTGTGTGGAATATAATAAAGCTACTGTATAAATGTTTCAAGCATTTCTTCATTAAGATACAGTATAACAAATAATAATAAGCAGTGTGAAGAAAGTAATGGCTATTTTAAACTATACTAGTAAGGTATAGATTGCCAACAAGCTGCCATCAGTTGCTGCTTTGCAAAAGTAGTCTGCAAAATGCATAGTGAACGGTGAGAATATAAATAATACTATAAATAATAATTGTATTTATATAGCACCTTTCGAAATATCCAAAGTGCTTTACAGTTCATTATTCATTCACTCAACACCCAGTGGTGGTAAGCTACTACTGTAGCCACAACTGCCCTGGGGCAGACTGACAGACACGAATCTGCGCCATTGGCCCCTCTGACCACCACCAACACTCACGCACACACCACTTTCATACTTGCAATGTGGGTGAAGTGTCTTGCCTAACTACACGAGTTTATGCCACTGGCGCCCCACTGTGGCACCTGAAATTCCCAGTGGTCTTCCATCCAAGTACTAACCAGGCCCAGCCTTGCGTAGCTCCTGAGATCTGACAGGATCAGGCTTTGACAAGCCGGTATGGCCACATGGAATACATTTACAAAAACAATTAAACTACATGAAATGGGCTGAAGCTGTTTTTTATTTGGTCTTTTATTTGCATAATTCATTTAAAACTTCTGTACGCAACAAAGTGAGAGGAGCTTTGTTTTGTTTACTTGGCACAAAAAGTAAAAAAGGCCAAAAATAGTTTACAGTCATAAATGGCTGAAATCCTCAAATGAATGATCAAGTTTTATTCTGATGTCTGTTTATGTTACTTCTTTTGTGGACCTACATGCACAGAACTTTAGATCAAACACTGAAATTCTAAAAGTTTTCATTGTAAGAAAAGATGCCTAAAATCAATAGAAACTAATTTTGAGTCAGTAAAGCGGCATTGCCAGCACACCTTTAATAAGAGCAGAATCCTGCTTAATTACAGAAAGTAAAGTGCTTGCATCATGTCTTTTCATTGGCTTTGTTTTGCCATATAGGTTTGACTCTGATATTAAAAGAGGATCATTTCCAGAACATGTTGCATTCAGTTCAGTTGATGTTTATAAAGGCTTAGCATATAGGCGTGTGGTAGAGTAGCACTGGTGTCCTCCTCGCAATGCAAGCACAAGGTGAAGAACAGAGCCACCCTGGATTTTATAATCTGCTGCAGTTTTCTCATCATTCCTAAAAAATAACCAGTAATGTCAGTAATTTACAGGCATAAATACCCAATTTACAGGAAAAAAATATAAGAAAACCATACAATCCTACATTTGTTTGCCACTGTAGATTAACCGTTGCTGTTGAGGAGGGATCCCTTCCTTCTCCTCCACTCTTTCTTTAATTCTCTCCACCTTTAGATCACAAAGCACACGATATTACTTAATTATCTTTATGGATCTGGAGGCTTCATCACATGAATTGTTATCTTCTTACCTATCTTACCTTATCTGTAGGCTCAATATCAATTTCTATCTCCTTTCCAGTAAGCGTCTGTGAATAAAAAAAAAAAAAAAAACGTTCAATATAGTCAATAAGTGGGCCAATTTAACTTAGGAAAGAACAGAGCAATAACAATATAGTCTATGGTAGTATTGTACGCTAAACTTCATTCTAAACCTTACCTTTACTTTAATTAGCATCTTGTTGTTTTGTCTTCTTCAAACAATATAAATACAAGTGTATCGTATAGCCTAATCTGTTAAATCAGGGCAGTGAAAATTGTATTCATTTATTTTATTTTATTTTTTTATGAATGAGTACTTCCTGTGTTTCTCAGTAAAGCAGCCGATGGTCCATAATAGATTGGTGGTACAGTTCCGCTATAATTTTACTTGAATTTCAGGGTTGTTTATTTACTATAATCCCGAAAAGCACACAATACATTCATAACTCATAGGCGTAGGCGTGAAAGAACCAAAACAACATTTTACGGGGAATATATTATTGAAAAAGTCTTTGCGACAGTATATGAAGTGGACCGGATCAGCGTTTCCGCTTGTAGTTTTTTGTTAGGTTTCTGCCTATGTTATGACGCGCTGAAGAACTACAACGCGGGTGACAGCAGCGTACTCCTCCTCAAATGTGGAAAGGAAGCGGAGCGGACACATAGTCAAAACGGTATCCTCTTTGCAAGCATCGGTAATAACGTCAAGGTAATATAGTCATACTTATATGTATATTATTTACGATGGCTGAAGTGTTTAAGGTTATTTTTCTGCTTTTTTAAATGATGTCTTTAAAATTCATCATGGAAGCCCACTACTGCTTTAAACCGACCAACCTTGAATTTTTTACCTACACTTTTTTTGACTCGTGCAGAGTGCGTGGTTCTGCCTTTTTTTTTCATTTATCACTTGCTATTGCTGACATGGGTTATTAACATGTTATTACAAATGTTGTTACATTCAGACATCTGACTGACGCTTCTTTTAACAGAACAGAGCTGCAAGACCGCTCCCTCTCAAAATGCCTCGTATTGAAAATGACATCAAGCTCGACTTCAAAGATGTTCTGCTTCGCCCAAAGAGGAGCACACTCAAGTCCAGGAGTGAGGTCAGTACAGTTAAGACGATACAGACTATAGGTTGATTAAAACAAACGCCAGTGTTAATTCATTGCATTTATTAACTGACATTTAGGTTGTAAGTAGCCTGCGTGAAATTGTAGTCAGCAAGTTACACACCAGCATGCATAACACAGGCCTACATAAGATTTCCCTTGAAGATAAATCAGCAATGCCAACAAAAAATATATATAAATTATTGCAATAATGATAATTTGTGGGGTTTTACATCAAGTGCTATTATGATTTTTTTTTTTGCCAATTTAAATGTATTTCGATTTGTCAAGGTCCAATTTTACAATAATTTAGTTGAGGAACGAGAATGTGGAGAAAGAGAAAGTACATACTTGCAGGATTTGTGATTATATTATTTCTTATATGTAAAATATCTAAAGTGAATCATTGTTCTTTTGACATTTAAATGGATGGTTCCAACAACATTACGATACAGTACTTGCTTAATCTGCTTCTTTTCTCTAAGACTTGTAAAACTTGAAAAGTAGAACATATACTCCAGTTTGTAGCTGTAGGCTCTAGAAAGAACTGTAGTGGATTTGTTGATACAGATAATTAATCATAAAATCAGTCAATGGGTGACAATGACTGAAAATTAACCACGACTACAATCCTGCGTGATTACAGCATGCAGCAGCACGCATTGTCGTGAGCAAAATAAACATTCAAAAATGTAAACTTCTAGTGTAAATTTATATTTATAATGGTTTTATTATAGTGTATTTGTAAATTGCTGTACTGTGATCTTGAGTGTATTGAAAGGTGCCTCAAATAAAATGTTTATTACTATGATTCATCTGTTTACACTAATTATTGACAGGTGGACTTAATGAGAAGCTTTACCTTCCGAAATTCAAAGGGCAGCTACACAGGGATCCCCATCATCGCTGCCAACATGGACACAGTCGGCACGTTTGAGATGGCCACTGCTTTACAAAGGGTTAGTTGCTGTATTTCTCACATGAATCTATTTCTCATAATATAGGACCTTTAATTATGACATTAAGCACAGATTTTGTATTTATACTTATTCGTACTTTTATATTATTCCTGGTGTTGTCTTTATTAACATTGTTCATTGTTTGTTTTCTATCAGTTCAGCCTTTTCACTGCAATCCACAAACACTACTCTGTTGATGACTGGAAGGAGTTTGCAAAGACCCACCCAGAATGTCTTGAGGTAACAGCTAGTGTCAAATTAGCTCTGCAGTGGTTAATCCTGTCACAATTACATTACAATATCGACTTAGTGTTCAATATATGAAGACTGCAACTGTAATTTTTGGGCCTCAATATTTGTCATGGATACAATTTCTTTGCAATAGTGGGGTGCTTTTATCAGCTTTTCTGTACTCTGATTAGGTTTGAGCTGTAGAGGGTAGACTAAATAACCTCTATGGCTAATTATTGGTGCAGCTCATGCTTTTAATGATACTGTATATTTAAAAATGGTTTCACTGAGATTATCCTGCTTTGTGTTATGTTGGTGGCATAAAGTAGTTTCAATACAGTGGTGGAAGAAGTATTCAATGTTGTTACAGAAACCAGAGTAAAGTAATTTGCGCATATTTTCACATCTAATAAAGCTTCAAATGTAGTGATTTTGAAACAGATTTGTGCTGAACTTTGTTCAGTAGAAACAATTAAATCAGTAGTTTTTTCCTAGCTGTTTTCATTTGTACATTTTTTTTGCTCAAATTATGAACCTGTTAAAGATAGGTTATAGTCTCAAACTATTATAAAAAATACTTTTACTTTTCAGTCCAGTTCAAAAATGTAGTGGAGGAGAAATACAGATACCTGCTCTCAAATGTAAGTAAAAGTAAAAGGTATCCACTTTAAAATGTGCTTAAGTAAAGTACTGTACTCTTTTTACTTTTATTACTTTTACTTTGTTACCTTCCACCACTGTTTCAATATTGTACTTTTATTGCATTATCTCTGTAGCAATATATTGTGCCTCAAAATTTTTAATCATGACAAGCCTAGTGGTGTTTAAATATGATAAAATGTACTTTAATTGTTTCTTTTTTATGTGTGGCAGAGTGTAGCTGTCAGCACAGGCACTGGTGAAGGAGATTTTGAGAAGATTTCAGCCATTGTAGAGGCAGTACCCCAGCTGAAGTATATATGTGTAGATGTGGCCAATGGATACTCTGAGCATTTTGTCCACTTTGTTAAAGATGTAAGAGAAAAATTCCCTTCACACACGATTATGGTATGTATGTCTTTCAGGAAACATCAATTTAAAAAGTGAATGCCAGGTACTAAAATATGTGTTTTCATTTGTAGGCAGGAAATGTGGTAACAGGAGAGATGGTGGAGGAGCTGATCCTGGCTGGTGCTGACATAATCAAAGTGGGCATTGGACCAGGTAACTACCATCATAACTATATTAGTCTTGTCATGATTCTAAAATTCAAAATCAAACTTCATTTTGACACTAAGGAATAGACTCGATACTCAGTGCCAATTCCAATAGCACAATAATAATAAAAACACTAGTTAGACAATAGAATGTAATTTTCAACATTAAATCATACTTTCTTTATATATATAATATTACAATGTCTGTGTAATCCCTCAGTCGTGGTAGTAGTGGTCCATGGCCGTATACTAGTCTATATGCTCTTATACCGGTAATAGTTTGGATACACTTTAAGATTATTCTAAAGCTATTCAAATTCATTTCTATCTACATTTCTTATTTGATACTAGTTTTAGTATTGATTGGTATCTGATGTTCGATACTTTTTTAACCCTAATCTACATTGTGCTGTCGTATAATAAATAATATATGTTTTTATAGGATCTGTTTGTACAACCCGCAAAAAGACAGGAGTTGGATATCCTCAACTAAGTGCTGTAATTGAGTGTGCAGACGCAGCCCATGGTCTGGGTGGACATATTATTTCTGTATGTAATAGACATGCATACTTCAATCATTTTTGTCGAAACACTAAACAATAGTTAATAATAATGATTTTCTTCTTACACACAGGATGGAGGATGCACTTGTCCCGGAGATGTTTCAAAAGCTTTTGGTATGATTATTTAACTTATAACTTTGTTGTCTGTTGTAAAGGGGTCATAACATTTTCTTTTTTATCAAGGTGCTGGCGCAGACTTTGTGATGCTTGGTGGTATGCTTGCTGGTCATACAGAGAGTGGTGGGGAGACTATTGAAAAGAATGGGAAGAAATACAAACTGTTTTATGGGATGAGCTCTGATACTGCTATGAAGAAACATGCAGGAGGTGTGGCCGACTACAGGTCAGATTTGTCATGTACTAAAATAGCTGTTTTTGAACTAGTGTATTCTTCTTTGCCTACTAGGAATGTCACAATATACAATTTCAGTGTTTTTATTGTCATTATTGTGAGAAGAACTATTGAGATTAAAAGGTCTTGTCTTACACAAACTTGACTTTGTGAGCTTTAAACCATGTTATATTGTTCATTCTCACATATTTGAGTAATCCTGGATTATTAGTCCATGTACATTTCCAAAGATCAAAATGCTCTGTTCTGCCTTGTGATGTCATGAAGTGGTAGTTTTTAACAGCGACCTTTTACATTTTGTTGAATCAAGACTGGCAGTTCCAGGGATCATCCAAATGATTCTAGTGAAGGTGTATGGAGTTTAAAAACAGATTGAAGCATGTCCTGTGTTACCTCATGATATTACAAGGTGAAACAGAGTGTTTCCATTTGAGAGAAGAACTAAGTATTGAGGGTTTGTGTGTTAAGCATGAAACAAAACATAACTCCAGGTATGTTTTTGATGAGGAAACATAATTATAACTGATATGAGAGAACAGGGCAATATGGGGCTTTAATGATTATTCACACTTCATGATTTATTGACCATTATTGACCCCATGACCAAATAATAAGTGAAATCATCATCATTCATTCACTTTCATTCACATTGTCTAAACAGATCAGCATTCTTCTCATATGTGATCTGACTTTTGAAATAAAATTTTCTGAATTATAAAATCAAGTAAAAGTGAAACAAAAGTACTTTACACGAAGGTTTACTGTTTTGGAGTGTACTATACTGAACTGAAATGACTTATTTTTGCATTCTCGTGATTATTATTGTTCAGTCCTTATGATTATCGTGTTACCTAAGTAATCTTGACGTCCCTATTGCCTACAGAGCTTCAGAGGGGAAAACAGTGGAGGTTCCATTCAAGGGGCCTGTGGATGAGACGATTAAGGACATCCTGGGAGGTGTCCGTTCCACCTGCACATATGTGGGAGCGGGGAAACTGAAAGAGCTGAGTCGGAGGACCACCTTTATCAGAGTCACGCAGCAGCTTAACACTGTTTTTGGCAGCAGCTGAATGGCTTGAAACACGTCTTGTGGAGCTCAACAGTGACTGCCCATCCCCTGGTTCCAAAAGTAATATTCCCATTTTTCCCATTGACATTCCAAAAAAATTTAATAAAATAAAGCTTGAAGTTTCAAGGCTTGCTCAGGGTTCTTCACCTATGTGGTAACTACTGACCACAAGACCTGTAATTTCATTTAAAATCTGTTTCTGAAACTTTATAAAGTTATTAAAACATTTTGCATAACCTTGTGTTTTAAACTTTCTTTTTGGAAACAACTGTGTTATGGATATTAGTTAAACTCTTGAACTCTCTTAGACTTTTTTGTCTAAAATTTACTTCTGGAACCAAAGCAGACTTTGACGTGGACGTAACTGTTGAGGTTCATTGACACAGGCACACATTCCCTTTAATTTTCACTCCTTGTTGTAATATTTAAAGGTAAGTTGCCTTTAGACTTGGAGAATTCAGGGGCAAAGACTAGCATCAGTCAATGTTTTGGCTGCTCTTGCATTCCTGGTGTTTCTCACTTTTCAATAATTCATGCTTTATACAAACTCAAAAAAGGGCCAGTTAAAAATTCTAATTGTCTTACAGCTGAAACAGTATTTACTGCCATCATTTTTTAAGATGCACTATACTTTTTGGTTGAGGGTCCACAACCTGCTTGTCCCCACTGATATGTTGTGTTCCCTGAAATGTTCTGCAGTATGGCATTAAACATTTATTTATGTATTTCAGGTGCTCAATCATACCTTCATTACCTTGGAAACCATGCATTCTTACCGTAAGCAGAATTGCCTCTCCACAGATCTAACCTAAATTTGGCCTGGTGGCATCACCATGCTTGTGTCCATGGTGGTAGATATGTTTTATGCAATGCACTGGAAGATTCCAGGTAGAGCAGTAACATTTCCATATAGACAAGCAGGTGATGGACCACCCACCAGGAAAGTTGCATAGTACTACTTTAAAAAGCAATTTAGTTATTGTTTAATTTTTTGAGCTCTCTTGCATTCCTGTTCTCTTAAATTCTCAATCATTCATGCTTTATACAAACAACAAACAGTCAGTAAATTAAAAATGAAGTCTGTCTTACTCCACTGAAACAGTATTTACTGTCATAATTTAACAAAATAATAGTGTTTTGAGCTGCACATTGTAAAATTAAACAACAATTAAACACATTATTTGTATTAGGAGAATAAAAAGGGGATAATGTGTTTTGCATTGTGTAATTTTACTGTTAGCACACCTGTGCCACATACTACTGATGCAAATTAAAAATTCATGCAGTATGATCTGTGTTATGTGTCATTATGTTGACTCCTAATCATAGACACATTTGTTGGTTATTTTCATGTAATTAATCAGACAATTCCAAGAAATCAGTGTTGATAGAAAGAAACGCACGTAATCTGTTTATCAACCACTAGATGGAGCCAAACCACGTAAAATAAATAGCTGATTTCTTTCACAACTTTAAACTTTGTTGAATTTTTAAAGCACCATGCCCTCATAAAAACAACACTAACTTACAAATCAGCTTAGTGGTGCGTATTAAATCAGTGATCCCTCCACAGCTACATTTATTTTGAGCATCAAAAAATTCATTCTTTGTTTTGAAACGTGAATCACAAGAATACCTCCACTGATTAGAATAACCTCTTTCTAGAGTAGATGTCTGTAGATGTGGTCGTAGTTTAATTCATTGCGCCTCTTCTCTGCAATCAAATCACTCATTAGGCCTTCACAAAATGAACGTTATAATGTTATCTCCTCAGAAACGTACCTTGTATTGTGTTTTGTTTCATTCACACGTCTAAGTTTGAGTATTATTGACTTTATGTATTATTAGCCTGTCTACATCTCTAAAGCTCAAAATGCCCTGTTCCCTTCTTTGTGACCTCATGTGGTAGTAGTTTTCAAATTAACAGCTATCTTTAATTCAGTAGAGATTGGCTGAAATTATGCAAATGATTGTAGTGACCTTCACTACAATCATTTGGATAACTAAACTAATATGGAGTTTAAAAACACAGTGGGGCACTTCATGTATTTCCAACACATAGTGGAACAGCGTTTTCTATTTGAGACAAGAACTCAGTCTAAATATGCAGGATTTTCGTGTTAAGTGTGTATGAATGAAACAAAACACGCCTCCAGGTATGTTTTTGATAAGGAAACAACATTATAACATAGATCAGAAAACCGCGTAATATGGGCCCTTTAATCACGCCCACAGCATTAACAGTGGCCAGGCCCTAGTCAAAAGTAAGCTATTTCTCCTATTTAGCTGGAATATATCATAAATTAAAACTATATTACACATTGAATGTGTGTAAAAATGTGTTGTACATTTTCACAACACTGTATAAGACGTTAAACTTAAAAATAAATAAATTAATTAATTATAAAAACGTAGCGGAGGACCCCACCTACCAGAATAACTATCTTCCGATCATCCACGCTGTTAACTGTCACGGACCGATTCATTTGAAGGGGATTATAGAGACCACTACGGTAAGAAGAGAAAAATTAACACAATTTTCCAACATGCTTTGTAAAAAAAAATCCATGGCCTCTTATCCTGTTATAGACTGTTCGGATCAAGTTGATGTTCTGAAGGTTAACGAATCGTACTCTGCTAGCATAGCCGTAGAGGTCCATGTGATTTGAAGTTAGCATGGTTGCACTTCTATAAATTAGTAAGTTCTAATTTTGTATTTATTTATTTTTTAATCATATAATTTCTTCATTTACCCAAAGATTCTGTTAAGACTATGGTGAAACAAATTATTTATTTATTTTTTTTATTTGATAGTCTCATGTATTATTGGCAAGTACTATCATTTAGAGGTTGAATAGTTTGGTCAGACTTAATTTTTGATGCTAACTTTAACATGTAACCAAAAATGAAGGCCTACATTTACATAACACTAGGCTTAACTTTTTTCATGTGTTTTATTGTTGTTCTTGCAGGATCAACATTATCAGGATGAGGCAGAAGATTAATGAACATGTTCCTTTTACCACTGGCACTACTCTTCAGAAGGCTGTGTCAAAACCAACCCTTGCCCCAGCAGCTTTCAATACAAATCAGAATAGCACCCTGTGTCTTCCCCTGATGAATGAAAACAACAAGATCATTTGGGTACTTTCAGATCAAATCAACATTCAAGGGGACAAAGTAGCCAAGTTAGATGAGGCCTTCAGCACGTTCCCATATTTAACCCAAAAAAAGACCATCTCCCTGGCTCATAGCTGCTCGCTGCACCCCGATCAGGTAAAGGTGTGGTTCATGGCACAGAGACTCCGCTATGGGATCAGTTGGAGCTCAAAAGACATTCATGAGTTGAGAAGAAAAATGCCTGGAGGAATTATGTCTAAGAAAAAGCTGCCCAAATGTGAAAATGAAACCACAAAAAAGTTAAGCAGAGAGGATGAAGAACTTGCCAGCCACTCGTGTGAAATCAAAAAGGAGATACTGACCAGTGCTGCTATAGAGGATCAAATGAATACTGAGGAGAAGCCAAGAGAAAGGAAAAGGAAAAAAATACTGAAGAAAGAAGATGTACATCTGAATACAATAAAGACAAGTCAAATTTGGTGGCCTGAGACTGGGACAGACTTCACATCTTTGCAGCAAACTGATGAAAATAGTTTTGTCATTCTAGATAAGACTCTTGATACCACTCCATCAGTTACTTTCCAGACCCAGGTTGCATCTTCACATACATCTTTAGCCATGGAGCAAGAACAAATACATATGAAAACCAATCCTCAACATTCTAAGGAGGAAATGTTTATTAAAGAACCACCAGTCTGCAGCAATATTGACGGTTCGGTAGTCAAAGAACAGAGTTGGATAGGCAAGCGTTCTTTCAGTGGTAGGATAAAGACATCGAAGCAGCTGGCATTTATGAAGATGGAGTTTACCAAGTACCAGTATCCAACCAATGAACAATACAAGGCAATGGCAGAGCTCACTGGCGTTCCTCGTGAAGGTTTGGTCCAGTGGTTCACTGACATGCGTTATTCAATAAAGAAAACTAAACCGACTTGGTTGAGTGTGGAGCAGCACAAGAGGGTTGTGGCCAATGTAATCCATGCACAGTGCATTAGAAAGATGAAGATGCAAAAGACTAGCGAGCAGAGAAGATGTAAAGAAGTCTACTAACAAAAAGATTGATTTAATTTCAAATCAACTGAAGAAAGATGGTTCACATGTTGCAAGTGTTTTACATAGTTTACTATAGTTGTTGTATGGCATTTTATTAAATCATTTTATTGGCATTGTTGCACTGTTTATCAAGTTTATTTAGTTTTAAAAAGTAAAAGTGCTGTTTTACCCATCTAGTAAGTATTCAAGTGAATGTGTACATGGTGACACAGAAGAATCAATAAAACTTCAAAATATCTGGAATTGTTATTTTGCTTTTTAATACTCAGACTATGGTGGCACAAGTGATCCATATTTTAATAATTTTATTCAAAACAATATATGGAGAATAATGGGGCTTTTTGAGTCTGCTGATAAAAAAAAGAAAAGAAATATAGTTACAAAATAGAATTAGTTTAACCAGTTTTTTGTTCAGATTAATTTTAGATTATGGGGAGCCACCATAGTCTCCTCTACAACTAAGAACGCCCACATGTCCACCTTAGAACACAAGATTGCAAAAAATTATACCTTTTCATTAATTATCAAACAGACACATTTTTATTTTTTGATATAACCGATTGAGAATATTTGTAAATATTGTAGTAAAACTATCCATAATAAATATATAATTGTAATTTTTACACAGATAGTAGTCAGTAATTAAGAGCTTAGCATTGCTTTATGTAAACAGCAGTTGGATTCAGTTCCAGGTGGCAGTGTATTCTCCTCCCCTCTGAGGCTGCCACAGTTCAGCTCCTTCGATGATGCGCCGAATCATTGCCGCAGATGTTATAAGAAGATGTCCTGCTGCTTGAAGTAGGGTCGATGCCACTCTGAGTGCCTCTCTAAACATTAAGAGTCAGGTCAGTCAATTAACAGTGGAAGCCCTTTATCCATAAATTCTGAAGTGTGATCTTGTGCTGCAGAAAGTATAGAGGATAATACTGAAACAACTGCTAACCAAAGCCACTGACACAACAATTCTTAACTTACTTATTTCTCTTTGTTTTTATTTTTATTTGTACAGATAAATGTATATATTTATGCCTTATTTGACACTAGTCTCTTGCTATTTTGCTGCCAGAATATATTATTTATATATTGATTTTTTTTCTCTTTGATATTATAATATATTGTGATGTGTGAGCTTTTGTGTCCAAATAATTTCCCTTGTGTTTTTTTGTCTAGTTGGTCTAAGTCTAACACCCCTCAAAAACTATTGTCAGTGTTTAAAGTGAACTCCGTAACGTCTTGTTTGGGGTGCGTCACCTGCTTGTTTCTAGTGATATGTCATTGCTCTGCCTGGAATGTTCCATAGTATGAGATTAAACATTTCTACCTTACATTTATTCAGTTACAGGTGGTTTTATACTAGTAGCACAGGCATTCTGATTGTGTCTCTCCACAGATCAAACTAGTAACTTGTAGTCTCCATAAAGATAGAAAGGTAAAGTACCACTCTGTGAAACATTCCAGACAAAGCAATAAAACCTCCAGGAAGAAAAGCATTTGACAGACCCTCCACCAGAAAAGTTACACAATGCACTTTTAAATATTGTTTGAAACTTGAGCTTCAATAAATAAGCACTAGTAGCACTTTAGTACCTAGTTTGTATCCATATTGAGTCATAGTTGAGTTCAACCCTCAGAAAAATAACAAAAAAGTTCCCCTACTATTACAAAGAAAAAGTACCCACAGTAAATAATGACCATTAAAATTATTGTTCCATCTATCATATATTGAATGATATAGTAATTATCTTGACACATCTAAAAAGCATAAAACTATACTGAGCTGTTGTTGACAAAGTCCATTATTACCTGAGAATTTTCTTTGGCCCCAGACACTGGAAATCTGCACTGACTGAATACAACCCTTGAAAAGTTGCCTTCACACTCAGGGAGCCAAACATGTCCTTAGGGCTCATCTTGTAAAGGTCAAAGGTGACACGAGCGATGTCTTTACCATTGTGGGGCTTGTTGGGAGATTTTGCCACAACAGCTCCCTGTGAGAAAGATAGAAGGTTTTATTATAGTCCAAGGTACAAACAGCAATGGCAGCTAAATCATTAATAACAGTGGAGTTACAGGTAAAAGTTGTGGTTGTCAATAAAGGATTCTTAAGTATTATTTTGAACATTGTAACATTAATAGGCACTTTTTGATTGGTTAAAAGACTGAAGTGAAGATAAAAAGTGTTATCACGATACAAAATATTTCAAACTTGATTTCAATACTAAGGAATACACTGGATACTTGATACAGATTTCGTTATCATGATGACAATAAAAAAAATTTTTTTAGACAATAAAATGTAATTTTGAACACTAAATAATACTTTCTTTTATATCAGGGGTGTCATCTTGGTGGGCCCCTGTTTTATATCACTGTTTATATCTATGTAATCCCTCTGTCACCCAAGTACGTTCCATAGTGGCCTGTGGGTGTATACTAGTCTGTGTGCTCTTATACTTATTCTAATACAGCTCAAGATCTTTCTAAAGCTATTCAGGAAAGGTTCACTTCTGTCTTGTGAATGTGACTTTTTAGTATTGAAACCTGTTCAAATGAGTATCTGGTTTTGATACTAGTACCAATTAGTATAATCTTTTTTATACCTTTAACAACCTTGTTAAGATATAAAGACAACTGTTAAAAACAGTTATGATGGTGCTTCGCCTGTACATACAGACAGAGGTTTCCAGGTTTGCCCAGGTTTCAAGGCCATGAGCATGGTGTTGTCTGGCAGTGTGAAAAGGAACTCATCTGAATCCACTTCTGTCCCATCCTCTTCACAGACCAGAGACAAGGACATAGCTGATAGGGACAGCAGCAAAGCCTGGCAGGCCTGGCACACAAAATGGATCAGTTAGTAGGCTAAACAACTATCAAATCTAGGGTGACCAATCCCTGTTTTAAGCCCTGTGTCCCTCGTCCCAGCATATGTATCCTAAATCAGTGATTTCTCCCAGTTCTATACAAGAAATGTCTCCATTTTTGTCCAATCTGATACCTACCAGCAGAAATGAAGGGCATATATTAGCTATAATACTGGAAACTGTTCTTGAAAATGACCGTAAGGCATTAAAATGCACTGTCGAAGCCCCTCAGATTAAATACTCAATTTTGAGTTTACATTTTTTTTCTTTTTTACATTTTTTTTTATACCAACCATCCCAGTCCAAATGTGTTGGAGTTTTTAAGTTTGAAAATCTGGTTACCCTACTCAAATCTTAAAGGTGGATTGTGCATCTTTTCAAGCCCCGTCAAATTGTTTTCTCTGTGGAGATGTTATTGCTGTGTCTGGAATGTTTCACAGAATAGCATTAAAGATTTCTGTCTTTACAGAGACCAAACCAGACCAAATTACAAGTCACATCTGTGGAGAAGCAACCCTGCTCACAGTCAGAATGCCTGTTTTTCTAGGTGTTTTTGAGCTATAAAACCACCTGTAAGGTATAGCTGTTTAATATCATTCTATGGAACATTCCAGGCAGAGCAATGACATCTCCATAAAATAAAGCAGGAGATGGACTCCCAACCAAAAAGTTGCATAGTGCACCTTTAAGAGATGTAGATTTCTCACCCGCTCCTTTAGCTCCTCCAGAGTTCCAGCAGTGACTCCTTTTCTGATCTCCCTGTTGGGGCAGCACACCCTGAAGGGCCGCTGAGTGGGGGACCATACTCTCTTGGTTACAGACCTTTACAATGTGAAGCAAATAAAAAAGAACTGGTGTTGTTATGATGTTTATAAACTAATAAAAAGAAAATGCCATCACAATACTGTGCTTACTTAATAAATGAAGACGTGGACTCCATTCTTTCCTTTCTTCCTTGGCTTCTTCTCTTGCTGTTTGGGTTGATTTGTGTTTTGCTGTAATCACCTGAAATGGTGTCAGCCCTGGGTTGACTTAACAAGTGGACTTTGGTCCAGATCTGATGATAGAGAAATGCTCAAATCAAAGTTCAACTCTTTCTTCACCCCATTACCACTTCCTCTTGATAGTCATTACAACTTCAATATATGAATTTATCAACTGTCATTAAAAGCATGAGCAAGAGCCTACATTTAGGCCTACTTATGATTTGTATAGCCTATCTGTGACAAAAATATGGCTGCAATTTATCAATTTATTTAATTAATTAATATTTGTAATATATGCTACGTGAAACGTAGTTTAACATAGAATGTATGTTTTGACCTGGTTTAAAGTTTTAATTTAATAAATTCATTATTTATTTCCGGATATGTAGCGCTCGCGGTTTTTTGCGTCACATCCTATTGCGCTTTGTGCTGTGTTTGTTTGGTTCCTTCACCGTGACAGTGCGGATAAAATTTTGCTCGTTTAGACCAGGTTTGCCGTGAAGAACACCGCCTATGTGGGGCGTACCCGTGTCGTATTCTACGTTACTTCATTGAAGGCGGGAGGACAGAAGACTGAAGTTTTGATACAGGCGCATCTTGTTTTGTTTGGATCAATATAACCACCTTTCTGTGATAAAATACTGGAGTGATGTGTTTGTAAACCAAACTTCACGGTAATTGGAAGCGTAACAGCTTGCGGTTTGTTGCATTGCACTGATTTTTCTTTAAGAAAGTCCTACAGAGTGCCGGATGGCCGCTAGAATGCCCAAGGCGAATGGTAAGTGTGACATTAACTTTAAGAGTGATCTGTCTTTGTATACTGCAGCCCATAAAGTGTACATATGATTGGAGCCACAGTAGCACGTCATGCAGTATGGATGTTCACTGATTATAATTTACCGTGTGTTTGATGTAGTTGCTTGTACAGGTGAGAGCAGTCTCCCTTTACCCGCGCTGAAGCTGTTGGCGCCTCCCGTGCGGCTCGTGTCCGCGGCTCTGTGGAAAGTGATGAAGGAGAGGGACGTGATGCAATATGGGATTGTGGAGGAATTTGTGACCTCCGCCTGCGACACTGTTCCTGGACTGCTCACTTTGAAACATCAAGCTAAACTGACTTTAGGATTAAGAGCACGGGTACATGTTTGGAGAGATGCTGTTTCCAGTAGAGCTCGGGATTGAACGTCTAAAAGCGTCTTTAAGTTATTGGCAAAATCATAAATAATCACATAATTTACCTTGTGCAAGTGCAAAACCTGCATTGAGAAGCATTAGCAAAAGAAAGTCTACTTATACTTTTTAACTAAGACCATCTAAAATGTCATTGGTTTAAGATTAGGCCAACTGAAAATCATATGAGATGTGTAATGACCCAGTCCCGATCTCTATTAAAACGTTCCCTATATTAAATACCATAGCTCTATCCAGTCAAATGGTCCTGTTCTTTATTTCTCTGTATAGCTAATTTTGGAGTTATGCAAACAGCCTGACCCGGAAACCATTGCTGAGCATATGAAAAGGATTCAAGTTCCTGTCTTACATTCATCCTCTGCTGTAAATAAGGTATAGTATTATTTTACATGTCAGATTTATGAAAAGTCAGTGTTGTTGGCAACACCTTTCATAGTTCCATTCCAATTTCACTCTTTAGGAAAGGGATATTAGAATTCAAGATGCAGTGAGAGATTTTCATTCATTAGTTCCAGTGTTGCTGACAGATAAGGTGATGAGGACAAGTTTTTTTAAGGTTTGTATCTCCATAATATGAAGTTGATGGAATTTGGCTGCAGCACTCAATATGAACACTGATTTAATTTGCAGGAAAGATTTCCAGTGGATTTTGGACCAAGATATGACCAAGAATTGGAGAAACTGCTCTGGGAGTTTTTAATCCGTTTAGACCAGCTACTCCCAGTTCCCAATCTTGCCCAGGTAGTAATTACTATCTAGCTGCAAAAGAGCATATCTGTAAATGTGTAGTACTTAACTTTGCTGTTATGTATGTTGTAGACTGTGTCTTGGCTCAGTGAGGCGCCCCCTGTCTTGGAAGAGTGCGCACAGGCATCCACACAACCACAGCTTCTCAAAGTTCTTCTTCAGCATCAGAGTTGTTTGGGTCACCTGGAGACTGCAGGTTAAGACACTGATGCTGCTACTCTTCTTTAAATATTTTACTTTAATAATAATAAATAATATATAAGTCTTTATTTATTATTCACTTAATCACATTTTTACAGCATCCCTTCCTCCAAATATGGGAGACTCCATCCTTGCATCTCTTTCTCTTCCACCCTCTGGAAAACTGCCTTCAAATGAACCAGAAAGATTTGGATTATCAGACCATTCTTCTTCCATGTCTTTGAGCTCTCACAAAACTCCATTTATCAAACCAGTGTTCGGACTAGTTTCTAATAAGAATGTGCCCTTAATGATCTCGGCTTCTCAGCATTTACAGAGCAGTAAGACCACTAACACCAGTGAGGAAGGCAGTGAAAATTTTCTCTCAGAATCAAACATCAAGTACATAGGAGTCAAAGAAAAACAAATTGGAGAGAGTGGTGATCAGGTAGAAAATAGAGGAATTACTGGGCTGAAAAGAAAGCATGATGACGATGGAGACAGTGCATCAGACCAAGACGATGTACACAGAAAAGCCAGGTGTGTTAAAAGAAAGACAGACACAATTTTAGATCAAATCAGTGATAAGTGCAAATCAATAGAAATGTCAGTGGACAGTAGGGCAGTATTGATAGCCTGCTTGCGTGATACTGGTTTGAAAATGCCTCATATTCCAGATGACAACTCCCTCTGTGCCATTTGGGTTTCCTGCCTAAAACGTCAACCCAAAGTGAAGGTTGAAAGGCTACAGCTTTGTTGTGCTTCTCATCAAGACCAAAATCTCACAAAGCAAAGATGCGTTTCACCAGTTACCATCAAACACAACAGTGTGAGCACCCGCACTCAAAGGAACAAGGCCAGTACCTCCGGGTCAGACGATAAAGAGTAAGATGCTTTGATGTTTTTCTCTGCACATTATTTATTTTAATCTGTATTACTAGGTTTCAGGTGACAGCACAACATTCTACAGGAGAAATTCATTTCTGTCAACTCGACAAAAGTTAATTTAATCAAATACGTTTCACAGCTCATCCAAGCTGCTTTTTCAGTTCTGGTCAGATGCTGGTGGACACTGCCTTTTATCTGCCTGCAGAGAGGCGCTAATTATACTAAGACTAACACACCTACTTTTTTACAGTTTCTGTTTAGGTCTATTGAACTGCACTGCCCACAATAGACTTGGCTAACAAACATACTGTAAACAAGTAGGTGTGTTAGTTTCAGAGTAGTTTCAGTGTTGTTGGCTCCTCCCTGCAGGCAGATATAAGGCAGTGACCACCAGCATTTGACCAGAACTGAAGAACCAGGTTGGATAAGCTGAGAAATGTATTTGATCAAATAGACTTTTGTCGAGTTGACAG